AAAGTATGTATGTATTAGTGTTATAGCTATCTTCAGAAAGTTCATGGAAACATGTATTATGAAAAACTATCCGGGAACCAGCAGTTAGTGTAATGGCTATGTAGCTGGACTCCCACGTAGTCGACCGCGGTTCGTGTCCCAGACCTGGTGGCTTAAAACTCACGCCGGGCGCGTGTGCGTGTGTGCCCAAGATTCCGAGAGGAGAATGGAGGAGAAGGGATTGTGACGTGACCATCACCCATGCGGGGTGATTTCTCGCTTTCTGTCTCTATGTCTCTCTCTGTCTGGCGAGAGCATGTGCCCTATAGTGAAAATCTCTCCTCCCCCCAAAAAAAGTAAAAACTATGCATAGATTTTGAAGTTTTTTGCACCAAATTAAAAAAAAGTTATTTATTTTATTCATGATAGAATGTGCACATGCAAGAGAGAGAAAAACAGGAACCCTCATACCACAATCTCCTTCTTATAACCCTCCGGCTTGTTGGTATCTTAGGTGCTGGCATGTGCCTGACTTGTTCCAGGTCCCCTGGGGATCTGAACCCATAGTTGCCATATGGCTTCTGGCACTGTAGGTCGTCAGCATACTGTCTGCACCACCCAGCACGGGCCTAAGCTTATACTTTGATTCTATTTTTTAAATTATTTTTTGAAATACACTAATAAAATCAACAGGATTTGGTGATTTGAATATGGGAAATAAGGAAGATGGAAGAATCAAGAATAACTCTTGCCATTTCTAGTTAGTCTAAGTGAATGGTGGTGCCATTTACAGAGACAAGAGAACCGTGAACTTGGTTTTGAATGTGCTAACATTGATATCACTTTGGCAGAATGTTGAGTGGGTAGTTCCTTTTGCAGAAGCTCAAGAAGCGAGGTCTGATTACAAAAATGCATTCAGGAGTCTATAGTGTAAGGATAATAACTGATGTCTTAGGCATGGATGGGTATAATAGAGTGAGAAAAACGGGCCTTTAGCTACATTTTGAGAAAATTCAACACTTATGGGGATATACTTTCTTTCATCACTTCTTGTATGCCCTTTTTGTTTTTTACTTTAAAATTGTGTTAATTTTCATTCTCATAATTGAACAAAATTTCTGATTTTCTGTTATTTCCTTAATCTCATATTTTCCCTCTATCCCTTCCTTCATGTGTTTTCTCCTTGAAGTGAACTACCTCAAAATTAGGCCATTCATTTTTGGGTTATTACAGATTTCAGTAGATTATGTTAGACTCTAACTGATTTGCTTAAGTTTGATTCCATTGGTTGAAATAAAACAGATTAGTGGGGACCAGCAGTTAGCGTAATGGCTATGTCGCTGGACTCCCATGTAGTTGACCGTGGTTCGCATCCTGGACCTGGTGGCTTAAAACTCAAGCTGGGCCCGTGTGCGTGCGTGCCCAAGATCCCAAGAGGAGAATGGAGGAGAAGGGATTGCGGCATGGCCATCCCCCCTGGGGGATGATTTCTTGCTTTCTATCTCTCTGTCTCTCTGTCTGTCTGGTGAGCACACGTACCCTATAGCAAAAACCTCCCCCCAAAATTAAAAAAAAGAACAAACAGATTAGTAAATCATCCTGCAAGGTGAGCAAAGTAGTAGAGCATTTAATTGCCCACCCATAGACTTTTTTACATATTGTATTGCTTCTGAGATTTTGCTACTCTCTAAATAGACATTGTGAATGATATTAAAGCATGATGAGCCTTCGCAGTGTATGTCATCAGATGGTAGAGATGATAATATCTCAGTATAAACAAATGTATTATCTGGCACAAAAAGTGCAGAAGGAAATGAGATGGGAAGACCAAGGGAATAACTGGAAAAAATATATGAAGATTTTGGCCCATGAGTTAATGACTTTTTCTTTTTTTTTAATATAAGATTTTCTTCAGAAGGAAAAATTATTTTGAGGGTAAGAAAAATTTGGCAGAGAGATGTGCTTATAGCTTGCTGAGAAGAACCAGAAAAACAAAACCAAAGCCTATAACTAGAAGTTGTAAAAAAGGAGGAAGTCTATAAGGGTAAATAAGGAACAAGTTAAAACTAGATTCTGTCTCAATAATAATATACTTAGTATTCCTCCCCTCTTTCTCTCCCTGTTCCCCAGACAGATTAAAAAAAAAGCAAAGAGATCTAGATTATTTGTAAGGAATATTTTCTGAGAAACAAAATTTTATCTTCCACCCGTGCTGTTTCTTGCCATCATTGGATACACTAGAAAATAATTATTCAATTATTCACAATGCTTCATAGTATAAATTGGCTAGAATATTGATGTGTTAATTAGAATTCAAAAATTTAGAAATGCTTTAGATTAACATTAGAATTTGGAAAGTAAGTTTGAAGATTATCAGAGAGAAGCCTAGGGCAATTAGATGAAGGATTCTTAAGATAAGTATGATTTATGCAAACAGATTTGGTGCAATGGTATAAAAGTTTTATTCAGAAAGCAAGTATCTTAATATATCTCTATAGTTATTGTAAAAATTTGGTTTGTAGAAAACATTATGCTTTGGGAGTCTAGTGAAATAAAATCGTATTGTACCCTAGTATAATTGGTGTCTGTCACAATAGTTCCTCATCTGACAGAACATATGAGATATTAAAAATAAATCCAAATTGATATGCTGTTTATTTAAAATGATGAATTTTTCTTAGCTGTATTACAAATCATTCAATTTTTCCCTTAAAGGGCATTTAAAACTGAAGATTTTTGTTAAATTTTGTATCCAGAAAGGTTTTATGAAAAGCATCAAAGATTTAATATGGTCTGATAGTTACAATCATAGTTAATCTTTTTACTAAAAGGAGCAATAGTAAAAATCACTTTTAAGATAAGATTTTTATTTCCTCTTACATTAAGGGACTTTGATTATACTGTTGGTGAGAGTGTAAATGGGAACAATGTATTTTCAAAGCCAATTTGGTTTTAAATTGTAAAGTTGAGTGTTTTCATTTGCTACTAACCAGTAATTTCACTCCTGGGTATATACTCTAAAGAAACTTTTGGTGTACGTGTGCCAGGAGATAGTACAAAAATAACTCATGAAATCATGGATCATAATAGCAAAAAATGTCCATAGAAGGAAGATAAATACATAAATTATGGAATAGCCACACAATGAAATATGAAATAGCAGTGAAAATGATTGAACTATAGCTACCTATAACTATTCACAACAACGTGGGAGATTAGAAATACTGGGTCATTGGGAAAGTCATGATGCATTTTTGCATAGAAAAACATAGAGGACTACATACAGTAAGATACCATGTGATAGGACCAGCAGTTGGTATAATGGCTATGTCACTGGACGCCCATGTAGTCAACTGCGGTTTGAGTCCCAGACGCTGGATGTGTGTGCATGTGTGCCCAAGATCCAGAGGAAAATGGAGGAGAAGGGCAGTTGTGTCATGGCCATGCCCCTGGGGGGTGATTTCTCGCTTTCTCTCCAAAATGATGAGAGTTTTCTGGTGAGCGCACGTGCCCTATAGCAAAAACCTTTCCAAAAAAAAAAAAAGATACTATTTTATAAAGCTTCAAACTAAACAAAACTAGAAAACATATTATTTAGTGATAGAGGCAGATGTAATGAAGTTATTTATTTTTTTAAAGACAAGAGGATGACAAAACAGAAAGCTCAGGATAGAAGACTACCTGTGGAGGCCAGGCAGGAGGTGGGATAGGGAAAAGTCCTGACTGTTACAAAGATAATGGTCACCATCCAGATGTTGGCTTGGGTGGTGTGTTCGTGGGTGTAGCACTTCATTATAATACTTGCAAGCCCTCTTTATATGTATTATTTAAAAGGTTATACATATATAGATGTATATTGATAGACTATTTGCATAAGAGCCCAAATCAATATCCAGTACAAATCTGTGTGCAGATGGCAGGAGTAATTTATGGACACAACTCAAACTGATAATTGGAAAATTGAAAAGTATGCAGAGAATTTCTATGTGTATAAAGGTTTCATTTAAAATTTTCCTCAGGGGATTTCATAACATTCATCATTCAGAGGCTCAGTTTGATTTTTATAACTTCGTACAAGCTGGCAAAAACAAACATCACAGAGCATCATCATATTGGAAAATAGATTTATTTGGTTATTGAACTCTTGTAAAGATTTCTTAAACATAAGAGTTTAACTGAAATTTTTTTTCTTACAATAATTTATTTTTTTCTTTTTTTGAGAGAGATTTTTACTATAAGATATATGTGCTCTCCAGAGAGACAGAGAAAGATGAAGAGAGACAGAGAAACAGAAAGCAAGAGTCACCCCTCTCCCGAGGGGAGGATGGCCATGTCACAATCCCTTCTCCTTCTGTCTCCTTTTGGACACACATACACATGTGTCTGAGATGCATTTCAAACCTCCCGGTCCAGGACTTGAACTGCAGTCAACCATGAGGGAGTTCAGAGACATAACCATCATGTCATCTGCGGGTCCCAGAGAATAAATTATTTCTAAAACCTATATCTGAGTTCTGTATATAACTGCAAGGCTGGCATGAGTTAATTGCATAGTGGAAAATGATAAGTATTGGGAACTATTTTATCACTCTTGCTCCTATATCTTAAGAACACCTAGAACTGTCATTAGCTCTGTTCATTATCATGTCATGTAATGGTAAAATATTTGTATAATGCACATTGTGTGGTACCTCTTTGCTCTCTGTGAAATTCAGACACAGTTTTACTTGAACAACAGAGTTTTTAGACTGTAGACAGGACACTTCACTTGCACCTGTCTGTCAACCACATAGGTATTTTCAATAGGTCAGGTAAATACGCATAGTTCAGTGCCTGTCCCAAAGGCTAAAATCAGAATTGTAAAATAAGAATCCACATATTCTTCATGAGATTTCTGTAACCTGTTGGGTCATTGGGAAAGTCATGATACATTTTTGCATAGAGAAATATGTCATGACTTCCCTGATGACCTAATAGATCTCCAGAAATTTTACTAGAGAAATAAAAAATTAGACTGAGGCTTTCCGATCCACCATCTGCGGTGGGATTGCCACCAAGATGCAGACTTTTGTAAACACCCTCACAGGGAAGACCATCACCCTTGAGGTTGAACCGTTGGATACAATAGAAAATGTAAAAGGCAAAATCCAGGATAAGGAAGGAATTCCTCCTGTTCAGCAAAGACTGATTTTTGCTGGCAAACAGTTGGAAGATGGGTGTACTTTGTCTGACTACATCATCCAAAAGGAGTCCACACTTCATCTTGTGTTGAGACTTCGTGGTGGTGCTAAGAAAAGAAAGAAGTCTTACACCACTCCCAAGAAGAATATGCATAAGAGGAAGAAGGTTAAGCTGACTGTCCTGAAATACTATAAGGTGGATGAAAATGGCAAAATCAGCCGCCTTCGTCGGGAGTGCCCTTCAGATGAATGTGGTGCTGGGGATTTTATGGCCAGCCATTTTGTTTTTGTTTTTGCTTTTTTTGGAGAGGTTTTTGCTATAGAGTGCGTGTGCTCACCAGACAGACAGAGACAGAGAGACAGAAAGCAGGAAATCACCCCCCAGGGAGGATGGCCATGCCGCAATCCCTTCTCCTCCATTCTCCTCTCGGGATCTTGGGCACGCACGCACACGCGCCTGGCGTGAGTTTAAGCCACCAGGTCCGGGACTCGAACCACAGTCGACCACGTGGGAGTCCAGTGACATAGCCATTACGCTAACTGCTGGTCCCGATGGCCAGCCATTTTGACAGACATTATTGTGGCAAACGTCTGACTTACTGTTTCAACAAACCAGAAGACAAATAATTGTTTATGAGGAAGGAACTAATCTTTAAATGTTAAAAAAAAAAATTAGACTAAGCATGTCAGTATCACTGGGCAATCAGTGGATATTAGAGTACTGAACTGGTGAGCAGAACTAAGTTTGAGTTTCCAGTCTTTTATGTACTGAATTGTGACCTTCACTTAACATCTTTGCGCTTTACTTTCTTCATATTTATAAACAGGGATAAAAGATATTCTAGCTTCACCAGGGGATTGTTATGAGAATGGAAATTAAGTTGCTATACATAAAAAAAAAAAAAAACCTTTATTTTTGGATAAGGAGAAGTGAACAGTCCCAGGCTGAGTGCAGGCTTCTAGAAGTGGGCATTGAACATGGGAATTGGTGGAGAAAAGAATGACTTACCAGTTAGCTTAGAATATAGACACAGGTGAGCTTTAAAAGAAAATACAAGAGATCGTCAAAAAATTCACAGAAGGGGGCCAGCATATGATGTGGTGGAAGCTGGATTCCCACGTGATTGACCGTGGTTCGCGTCTCAGACCTGGTGACTTGAAAATCATGCTGGGCGCATGTGCCCAAAACCCCAGGAGGAGAACAGAGAGGGGATTGTGGTGTGGCCGTCCTCCCAGAGAGTGATATGTTACCTTCCCTCTCACTGACTCTCTGACCAGTGCACATGCCCTATGGCTAAAACCTTTAAAAATAGTCACAAAAAATGTGTATTATTAAAAAAAAAAACTATGCATAAAATTCATGGAAGATGTGTGCTATTAAAAAAACTGCATGTATTTCTTTTATTTTTTGCACCCAAATAAGCACATAATTTAATTCCATTTTCTATGAACTTTCAGAAGTACCCTGGTAATTCACTGTTGCTACCCTTATCCAGGAAGAAAGTTCTTCCCACCAGCTAACCCTGAGCATAGAGGCTCCCTGATCCCAGGCAAACCAATGTCTATCTTCTCCCAGCAAATGATAGTCACTAGAAGAAGTAACTTTTTATTTCTCTGTTATATTAAAATTCACAATAAACTCTAGCAAAAAGCTCATTCAGGCACTTTTAAAAATTGCTATGTAAACTATATAACTTTTTTACTAGAAACAGAAAAATGTGTATAGGCTCTTCTTGATTTCATTGAATTTCATGTGGGTGGACTACTTAGGTGTAAATATGAAAGTATATCTCCACAGAATCGGCAGGATATCTAGATTAATCAATTATTTAATCAAGTCACGGCTTGGTATTTAACCTCCAGAGAGACCGTTACAGTAATTGCCCTTCTTTACTTAGGTATGGGGGAAACGGAAGTCATTCCCTTCATGATTATCTATTTTGCTGTCACCACTATAGAGATGACGCAGACAGACCAGAGGGGCCTAGGAACCTGGAATTTCATAGCTTATCTGTAAGTTGCCTTGGCCTTCGAGTAGCAGATTCATGTACAAAAGACTGATACACCCAAAAATGATTTGCCAGTTTACAGTAAGAGCCATTTTAAGCTTATCTTTATAACATCACTGGTGCATTACTTTGCTTTATAGTTAGTTCCTAAATGCTTTGGTCTTCATTATCTCATTGAGACCTCTTCATTATTGAACAAATTGATCTCATTTGTTTTAAACTGTTTCATTTCCCCTATTTATTTATCAAGTGGAAAATACAAAAGGTGCAAAGGGGAATGAGATGTCGAAAATAACATTGTCAACAGTCCTTCATACTTACCTCTTTTCTACACAAGTTTATAGTATTGTATTGTATATGCCTTTATTTATTTATTTAATTTTATCTCTCTCATGAGGGAATGAGAGAGAGCGAGGTAGAGAAACAGCACCCCTAACAGGGTCTTGACCCCTCGAGGCTTACCCCCAGCCTCAGCCAGCCCCGGTTGTGGGCGAACGGTGCCTGGGTACTTAGGGACACCTTCCGATGAAAACCCACAACCTTCTCATGTGGGTCACCCTGGCAGAGCCTCACATTTTACTGCTGCACCACTATCTAGCCCAGTATGTGCCTTTACAGAGTTCAAGTTTTCACTTAGAAAAAAAGGTTTATTTTAATTGTATTTATTCATTCATTTATTCTAATTTGATCAGAGAGAGAAAGAGGAGGGTGCCAAAGCAAGCCACTAGGTCCGGGATTCAGGCCGTGGTCAGCCATATGGGAATATCCAGCGCCTTACCTACCACACTACCTGCTAGCCCTGAGTTTTCACTTTTTTCCTGGTTCTGAAGTTTTGTAGAAACTTTGGAAAAGTTGTGGAAAATAGACAACAGTCAAAAGCAGAAAATGAAAACCACATACAATCTACCATGGTAGTTAACTACTGTGAACATTTTGATGTATTTCTTTCTAGTTCTTTTTATTGTATCATTATCACTTTGAAAAGCAGTCGTTATCATACCAAGGCAGAAGTGCTTGGAGGGGACAGACACGCGTTTGGCTGGAATGGGGCAGCCTCTGCACTGGAAGCAGCAGATCAGCACTCTTCTTTCTGGACAGGGATAGCGAGAGTGAGTATTTGAAATTCACTTGCTTCCGTGTTCTAAGCCGCTCTTTTCTCCTACCAGTTCCCATCTTCCAGGTCCGCAGACACCCGCCCATCCCTGACGGCAGCTGGAAGCCCCCTCTCCTCTGCGGGCCGTTCGCCTCGACTTATCAAGAGCTCCGGTCCCACGTCACCTTCTGCACGGGTGAGAGGTGATGGGAGGCCGCTAGGTCGGCGCTTCAAAGGGACCTTTAAACCTGAATGCCAGAGTCAGAGCCCTCGCCCCGGCAGGGTCAGATGCTCCCGGGGCCCACTTGGAAGCTCCGTGTCTCCCTGTGGAAGGGCTGAGACCAGGGCAGGCCTTCGTGATGGCTGAGTGCCCAGCGCCAGGGCCACCGGCCGCTCTCGGAGGCCAGCCCTTCCACATTCCCAGCGAGGTCCTGATCAGAGAGCACGTCCACGTGGTTTTGCGTCTCCCCATTCTGCTGTAATCGGGCGGAGAAGGCTGTGAGGCCCGGGCTCGCTCTCCGTCTCTCGGGACCTCGGAGCAGGCCTCTGCTGCGGAACGCCGCGGTGGCAGCCAACGACCGGATCCCCTCTCCGTTTCGCTTTGCGAGCCGGAAGAGGTGCGTCCCTTCTCGCTTGCCTTATGCCTGGTGGAGAGGCGGGGGAGACCGCACTATTGTGCAGCCTGCCGGAGGGGGGAACGCTCACGTGCAGCTCTTCGCTCCCCAGTGAGCAGCAGCAGCCCCAGGAAACCAACGATAAGACTATTAGCGGGAGTATTTTATTGTCCCAGGAGCCCGCACAGGGGGCAGAAACGACCGTCCGCCAGAGCTGGGCGTTTGACGCGTCCTCTTCTCCCCCCCTCCTTCGCCCCGACCGCCTGGAGCTGCAGGCGCGTGCCAGCAGCCGCGGAGCGGCCTCAGCCTCTGACAGCTCGGTGGGAGCACCTCGGGGTCTCGAGTCCCGGCTCAAGGGGCGGGGCGGGGCGGGGCGAGCACGCTCGGGGCAAAAAAAAGGCCGGCCGCCTGCGGCTCAGCGCCGATCGTGTCGCGTCGCCGGGCTCCGAGTATCCCCGCCTCTGCCCAGGCTCCGGCAAAACTTTTATTCTCTGGGGTCCCCTGGGGTGTGTGAAGGAATCGGAGCGCTCGGCCGTTTCCGCGCTCTCCGCTGCGGTGACCGAAGGGACGTGCATCCCTTGCCCGCCGGGCTCTCGTGTCCTGCGCCTCCTCCCCTGCTGATCGTTCCCCGGAGCCGCGAGGGGGCATCCCCGGAGGGGCCGCGCGGGCGTCTGCGCCCCGGAACTCTCCCGCTCCCCGCGGCGGACCCGCCCGGCGCAACTTTAACTTGATTCCTCTCGCCCAACCTGGACACCCGCGATCGCTGCTGCGGCGGCTGGTTCTGCCGCTGCCGCGGAATCACAAAGGGGCGCGGGTAGGGGAGGCGGCGCAGGCGGCAGGCACGGGCCTCCGGGCCGCGGAGGCGAGGAGACAAAAGGGAAACTGCCTCAGCTCGCAGTGCCCGCTCGGATCAGCCTGCTGTTTGCTCCTGCCCGGCTCCGCGCGCCTCCTTCCCCCACCCTCGGCTGCTGCTCCGCCTCCCTCCCCTCGGGCTGTCCCCGCAGTGCTCTGGGACCCGGCGAGCCTTCGGGGCGCGCGTCGCTGCTGGTGGTTGGGGCTCTAGCGATAATAAATGATAGAGGATACAATGACTTTGCTGTCTCTGCTGGGTCGCATCATGCGCTACTTCTTGCTGAGACCCGAGACGCTTTTTCTGCTGTGCATCAGCTTGGCGCTGTGGAGTTACTTCTTCCACACGGACGAGGTGAAGACCATCGTGAAGTCCAGCCGGGATGCCGTGAAGATGGTGAAGGGCAAGGTGGCCGAGATCATGCAGAACGATCGACTCGGGGGGCTCGACGTGCTGGAGGCCGAGTTTTCCAAGACCTGGGAGTTCAAGAGCCACAACGTGGCGGTGTACTCCATCCAGGGCCGGAGAGACCACATGGAGGACCGCTTCGAAGTTCTTACGGATCTGGCCAACAAGACGCACCCGTCCATCTTCGGGATCTTCGACGGGCACGGGGGCGAGGTAGGAGTTCCCTGAGGCTTTGTTTTTCATGTGTACGTGTGTACGTAAACAACAGGACGTCCTGTGCGCAGTGGGGTAGGACCCGGGTGCGAGGGGCGTGTAGATGACCTGGTACCTGTTTGGACGGATGGGGCTCAAGTTGCCAAAAACACTGTGGATTCAGATCTCTTGCTCCTTGGGGTCCAATTTAGGGGAGAACGAGACATCGACAGCCTATTTCGTGCTTCTTAATATGAGGTTTCCGAGGCCGGAACCCAGCAAACGACTGCTAGTTTTGCGCGGAGACTTAATGGTATCTCCAGTCAAGTTTGGCCCTGGGCTTCAGCGCCGCTGTTTTAGAGGGTGTGAGGCTGAACTAGACACAAAGACTGAAAGAGTATCTCTGATGCTCTGTTAGGGAAAAGATTCTCAATCTTCAGAGCAGAGGGGTTCGGCGAGAGTGAGGGAAGCTGTGACTCTCCATCGCCTTTGCCCTAGGGAGGGAAGCGGGGGGATGGGGGGGGGTCGGCTTTGCGCTCCTTCCCAACTCCATCAACTTCGCACGCGCAATCGGGCCAGCAAACCGAAGAGCCTCGCTGGCTTCCTCCTTTTAGCTGGATCGCAGCGCGGGACAGAGAGACTCCTGGCCTTTGCAGAGGTGCCCGTGGCAGCAGAGGAGGGGGCGCCCCCACCTCACCCCTGTGCCCCGGCGCATCCCTAGCTTCCGCGCTCCTTTGTTGGGGCTTCATCTGGGAACAGAAGTTGGGGCTAGAGGCCGGTTCCGGTCTCTCTCCGCACATTTCTGCGGCACCGGCTTGCGCGCTGGGGCTCAGGCTTCCCAGAGGTCGGAGAGGGTTGCCAAGGGTTGGCTTCCTCCTTCGGCATCAGCTCAGGGGGAGTGGCTAATGCAGCTCTAACCCAGTGCTACAACGAGCACCAGGCCGGTCATCTAGTTTCTTTCAGTTTGGCATTTTGTAACAATTTTGTTGCTACATACATATATATGTATAAGTATATATGCACACATATGAAAATATGACAGTACACACACACACACACACACACACACACGCGCATGAAGCATACTTATTAAATCCTTTCCCCCCCATGCCCCCCCCCCCCCGACTTTTATATCACCGCCTACCCCATTCAACTTTAACACCCCCTCCCGCGCTCGCTCGCGCCTCTCTTCTGGGTCCTATGCTCTCTGGGTGGGCTGTAGGGAACTGTGAGGAATGTCACTCTTTCAAGCCTTTGCTTGTTCTTTGTTTTGGAGAACTTGGAGAAAGCTTTGAGTTGGCTCTCTTATCTGCATTCTGCACTCACCATTGTGCTAATCTTTCCAGGATACTGTGCCTACTTGTCCTTCACTTTGCCAGAAAAGGAGCACTTCCTAGGAAGACTTATTTCGTGCAGCTGAAATCAGTTTTAGCTGTTGTAGTCTGTCTTTCAGAAGGGAAGTTCTCTCTGGTTATACTCTTGTAGGCTCCTGTGTAGTTCTCCCCTTGGTCACAGGGCGGGTGAAAGATAACGTTTATTGGGGGAAGAAGTTCTGCTCCTGCGGGCAGAACCACACCTGAGGGACGAAGTTGCCAGTATAGTGACTAATTCATTTTCTTGTCTTGTCAGAATGTCTATTTTCATTTTATGTGTCTAGACTGTTGTAAATCAGCTAATATTTACTATATAGTTTTATATTAAGATTGTTAGTAGGTGACAATTTGCTTATGGTCTTAGAAAGCAGTTTCACCTTTCATGTAAAAGTCTCGTAAAATTTGTGTTGTGAAACGTTCAGTTGTGCTTATCTGTGTGCGATGTGTTGGCATGCTTTGAACCTGCGTGTGTTAAGGGATTGGCTGGTTTTTATTTATTTACTTTTAAGTTGATATTTTAAAACCTGAAAGTACAGATCTGAACAGGCTTCAGATTGAAAAATTTCCTGTACTATCTTGTAAATGTACCATCCAGAATAACAACATGATAAATACTCAGATTTCACTAAAAGTATCTTACATTTACATAGCTTTTCATTACATTTTGAAACTAAAAAATGAAAAGATGGCCATTGTTAGCCAGATCAGCTTTGTAGCTTATTAACTCTGGCTTTATTTTAGGACAAAAGAAGGAAAGTGCTGGAAAGAAATTATTTATTTGTTTATAAGAGTGTGATAATAACAAATAATATAGATTAATTTCTTTCTGGCTTTTCGTTTACATATTAATCAAAGACAATCCCACTATCTTAATTCATGTCTTTTGTGTGATTTTAGCTCCTTTGACATTCACCAGAGGGGGGTGCCGCTGTTTGATTTTAGTACAGATAACAGTTAATCACCTTCCAGAAAAGAGGAAGTTTTTTTCTGAACTCTCTACTACTTATTTACAGGTTGCTTCTAGAGTGGTACAGAAAATAAATGAGTTTAATAATTTCATTTCTAATAACTCATACTAATAAGATAGGCCAGAAAAAAAATCAGGGCCCATCTACAATTGTAGAGCTTTTTAGATTCAGATGATCCCTGGTGTATCCTTGGGTACCTATTCCATCTGAGTATGTACCCATTTCATCCTTGTATATACTAATTTCATCCTTGCGTATCCATTTCATCCCATTTGTTTAGGTGAGAAGCTGATTGCTGGAGAAGTTGTGAACTTTCTAAGGTGGCTAATGCTTAGTTCAAGGCCTTTGGTTTGTTGATCTTTATGTTAAACCACTGGATGTATTGGTTTGCCTATTTATCCAGACAGATAGCACCTTGGGGACACAAGAGTGAGTGACACGTCATCCCATCTTCAAAAAGTTTCAGCCTAGTGAGAGAAACAGACTCACAAAACAAATATTGCAATGTGGTGTGCTTAGGGTGTTATGGGAATTCAGAGGATGGACATTTAAATCACACTGGAGATGGGAGGCCTTGGGAAAAACACCTTGAAGGCCATATGAGAAGCAAAGCTTTCATTTGAGATCTGGCTTTGAATCTCTGTTCTGCTTTATACAGTATTTCTCCCCCATCTGCTGGGAATAAGTTCCAAGTCCCCAGTGGATGTCTGAGACTGTGTGATTAGTACCAAATCCTATGTTTTCTATATTTTATCTTATACATGCATACTCATCATAAAGTTTAATTTATAAATTAGGAATAGTAAGAGATTAACACTTGCTAGTAATAACAGAATAATTATAGCAATATATTGCAATAAAAGCTATGTGAATATGGTCTCTTTCTCCCTCAGTCTCAACATACTTATTGTACTATACCATACTCACCTGTTTTCAGACCACAGTTGATTGTGGGTGACTGAAACCATGGAAAGTGAAGCCCTGTATGTGGGGAGACTACTATATTAGTTGTGACCTTGAGCAAATTGCATAAGCTACTTAACCTGAGAATTTCTGGTGTGGTGGTTAAGGTGGCTGGATCCCACACGGCTTACTGTGGGGCTCGAGTCCTGGATCTGGTGGCCTCGAAAACATGCTGGATATGTGTGCATGTGGGCCCAAGATCCCCACAGGAGAATGGAGACAGGTTTGTGGTGTGGCCATCCCCGTGGGGGAGTTCTTTCTCTCTCTCTCTCTCTCTCTCTCTGCCTCTGTCTCTCTCCAGCAAGCACACACACTTCGTAGCAAAATTAAAACAGAAAAAAAGGTAATAGTGCATGTAAGGTATACCCTCGCTAGGTACATTATACCCTGTCTAAAGACATTTTTATTGGCAAGAAGGATATGGATAAAGAAAGTGTAAAGACCAAGAAGTCTGCAGTGTTGGGGCAGCAGTCTCCGAGAGAGAGACTCTGCCTGTGATTGTCACAACTTTGATCACTAGAAAGCTGTACATTGGGCAGAGGTAATTCATTGGTATCCCACAAACTGTTTCTTTTGTTTTAACTACTGGGAACTTTGAGTTACAATTTAGGATTCCAGGTATGCAGACATTGAGAAAGCAGCATCTGGGCTTCAGGTGCAAATATTCTGATTTGTGAAAAGTAATATTCTATATGATTAATTAATAAGTTCTTGCTCTGACTTGCACATCAGCCTCTTATGAATTGGGTTAGCACGAGTTAGTTCTCTTGAGCCTATTCAATTGTGGATTTGTTGACAAAGATATGTCTCTGAATTTGTTATGCCGAGGACCAGATTTTGGGTGGCTGTGAGTTATACATAGATGAGATCTTTTTTTTTTTTTTTTTCCCCTTGTCAGAGGGCACACATGCTCACTAGAGAGAGAGAGAGGGAGAGGAAGAGGGAGAAATCGTTCTCCAGTAGGGCATGATCAGCTGTGGTCCTTTCTTCGTTTCTCCATCCTCTTGGGATTTGGAGTATGCACACATAGGCACCTGGAGTGTTTTTCAAGCCACTGGGGCTGGGATTCCAACCATGGTGGGCCAATGGGACCTGATTCCCTTAACCATTAGGGTTTGGGGCTAGCCTAAAAATGAATGCCCAGTGAGATCTTAAAGAGCCTTATCTTACTGGTTCTCTGACAGCTCATCTTCCTCACTTGATGTTCTTGGGACCTTGAAACAGCCTAACCATGACAGTGTTGTATGTATGTTAGTTAACTATGTCAGTGATTATTTTATTGTGTTAGATAAGATTAAATTAAAAGCAGCTCAGATCATATCGACCGATGTGGAAAGGTGGTTATTTTTAAAGTTCAAGATAATGTTTGTAAAGGAAGTGGTTTTGTACTTATCTGTAATTTTTTTATCCACAGGCAAAGGTGGGTTTTTTTGTATTTTTTTAATACTATCTAGAATAAATAATATCATCAATCCTTTGAGGCAGCTTTGTCAATGTTCATGGCTGAAACCTATCTGGAAGAATGGATTGTTATATGTTCTGTATGCTTAGGGGCAGTACCGTAGAAAGGTCAAGTGTATCTTGACAGCTGACACAGAGCTTAGCCAATAGGAAAAGCTGAATTTCAGGTACTTGTCGAAGGCTTCATGTCTTAAGGCTCCACTTCTCAGAAGCTTAGAAGAGAAACTATGTATGGCGAGTTGCCTGAAGTATGTAT